CGCCAATGCTATCTTCCTAGATCTTCCAGCTCCCTGGAAGGCACTACGTAATCTCACTCGCCGAAGACTACCGCCACATATGTACAAGGCATTGTCAGACCCTGTCAGCGTCGATGCAGCTGATGCGACATTCTGCGACGCCACGACACCGGCTGATCGAGACGACAGCTTTACAAGTCCGCTCAATCCTCGGTCTCCTGTATCTGTGTGTTGCTTCATACCCTGTATTGAACAGGTGCAGTCTGCTGTCACTGCCCTACGTTTGCTGGGCTGGGTCGATATTGACATGGTGGAGATCGCACATCGGCGGATGGACGTCCGCAGGGAGCGGGTCGGTTTCGCAGAAGAAGGGCTACGAGGGACTAATGCTGGACCAAAGGACGTCGAGGAAACGATGGGCCGACTTCTCGATGTCGAGGGTCGCTTCAAGGCATGGGGCGAGCAGGTAAAGCGCAAGAACGAAATCATCGCACAACAAAGTGGTCAAGGTCAGGAAGACAGTGGCAAGGACGGTGATAGCACGAACAAGCAGGAGCGCAAAACGCAAAAACAACAGCGACAAGAACGAAACCGAGAGGTGGAAAAGGAACGCAAACTTTACAAGGAGGGGATTCTTGTCAGCAGGACAGAACCCGAGATTAAAACACACACCAGCTATCTTGTCTTTGCCGTGTTACCTGTGGATTGGAGCGATGAGGATGAAGCCGTAGCCTTGAAGAAATGGGGGACGGGAGTGAAGGCGAACGATGAGCAGACCAAAGCCAAAGTGAAGAAGGCACAGATTAAAGTCGAAGAAGAGAATAGTGCGGCAGTAGAGTCTACAGAAGCCGGTGCGGACTAAAGAGCCAATTGAGAGAGAGTGACGCATCTAGCCAGATTGCAAATTGTCTGATATATCTGCACTGCTGATCGAACATACCAGACTCAATAGATGACCATGTGAAGCGGGACGCCTACCTCGCTTAAAGTTAAGCAATTGGAGAGTGGATTCGGTGGTGCGTGCCCCGACCTGCAGCAGGGAAAGCACGCAAAAGACAGCTGGATCTCCAGCTCATCAACCTCTCTCCCCGAACGGCCTCGACCTCAATCATTCTGCACAGGTATGCGGACAACGAGTTCCGCAGCTGCCGGATAACGACGGGCATGGAAGGTCACACGAAACGCCACAGCGCTGCACAATGACAGCAGATCTGTACCTGCAGTATCTTTGCAGTCTGCCCTCCACCCCCACCCCCACGCCTCCAGATTGAGCGCTGCAGACGATCTGGGGGCCAACAACACGACGAGCAGCTGCCACACTTGTTGGCCGTCCCAGACCATCGCTCGGAACGCTGCTTCCGGAGGATCATGTACACTGCACCACCAATGACCACCGCGTTTGCAACGCTGGCCACCAATTTATCTCCGCACGAAGCGACGGCGCATCTATTCTGGGATTGGCACAAGGGGAAAGCCGAAAATCAACAATGGCGCGACTGCAAGACTCGGCGTGACCCAAGGTGTGGTCAAGTGCCACTGAATTCCAGGGCCGGTGGCCGGCACCAGCACATCAGCTCCGATGGCGCAGGCACTGAGTTTGCCCTCGGAGAATAAGCCCCGATGCGATAACAGACGATAACCAGGGCCGCGCATACCATGATCCAAGGTAAGTCTCCTGGTATGACTGCGCGCGCACCCTTGCTCGATTCCTATATTCGGCACTCCGACGTGTCAGATCCTTGCAAGCGCTATTGCAGCGGACACGGCACAGCTGCATTGCAGATAGGCGGGAAGTTGTGGAGGTACAGCGTCTGGCCATTGATGCAGGCCCACCTCCTCCTCATCAGGACGAATCAAATATTGGACAAGAATACTGAGAACAGCAGTGTCTGCGGCTCCATGCGGCAGCATCTGTGCGACATCCCCACCTTTTCCCCTCGAGTACGCGCAGGACTATACTATCCAAAGCGCCATCTTATCTGAGCGGCATTTCTCTGACAAAAAATCCTGACGAGCATTTGCAGGATTGGACCCTGGGCCCCCCACGCCGGCGCATTGAGGCTGACCATCAACGGGCATCTGACCCCGCCATCGGAGGCCTGAGCGCAGTCGCATAGGCGGGCATATCGAGTCACGCAGTCAACTCACCACCATCGCAATTTTCTGCAAGAGATTTCAGACGCCTTGTGCCTCTTTCCACAATCGTTCCAAGATTGTGCACGCCTCGAATCCACCTCCCTCCTCTTTGGTGGATTCGTCATACCTGAATTTCGGGGTTTTTGTCCGAGTGTGACTGCTTCCCAGGTTGCTCGCACAACAACACGACATGACATCGCGATTGCATTGGCCTGTAGGACAAGAAAACACCAACCGTTGACAACCTACTGGGGGCATTTTTCTCTTGTTGGACTTCTCTCTTTCATATTCATTCTTATCCCCAGAGTCTCTCGCCTCAAATTTGCTCGATCTATCGCATACGAGCATGGATCGGTCACTCACCCTCATCAATGCCCAGATCCAATTCCTGGTATGTTTCTTGCTATTCGCCGTACGACCTGACTAATGCAACATGCTGACCCGGTCAGGACGTTCGACTGGCCTTAATTCACATACCATTACCCCTATATCCTCACTTCATTCAACCTATTCTCAAACTCCTCGCCTTGGTAGGCGTGAACGAGGATGACGACGATGGCATTCCGCGAAGACCATGGTCTTATGTGTACCCCTTCACCAACATATCTATCACCACGATAGAATGCTCTATTGTCTGTCCCAGACATCTGGTGCAGGAGCTGTTCGTGCCGATCCTCTCCGGTCTCTCCACCTTCGCTCGCTCCCAGGTTTCAATTTCCAAAGACGACTTCGTCGTCATTCAAGTAGGCGGTTCGGGAACAGAGGCAGGCCAGCGAGTTCTTGACCTAACCGCACCACTTGCTTTGGCTGGTATTTCCATCTTCTTCATCACGACATACTACAGCGACTATGTCCTCGTTCCACAAAAGTCCCGTCATGCTGTTGTCAGTGCACTGGAGGAGCAAGGCTTCGCCTTCGAACACAGACCGAACGGTTATGCGCAAATGACCAATATATCGAGTCCGATGAGCTATCACCATCAAAATCAGCAATACCAGCCTCAAAACTCACCGTCCCATGGCCGCCAAAACTCGTCCGCCTCCGGATTCGAGTTTAACCTATCAACTCCGGGCACGCCACCTCCTGCTACGATTGACGAGTGGCAGACCAAGACCTTTGCGACGTTGAAACGAAACAACATTATCCCCGTCCTGGACACAACTTTAACGCTGGTATCTGCGGGGGGTCACCGCTCAGATCGCGCCACACAAGCCCGACTTACATATTATATAACAGTCAGCCTACTCAGCGTGCCTCCACCCCGGTTTCTCAGCCTCACACTCACCGACACGGATAGTATGAGCATAACTCTCGATCGACAACTGCTGTCACTCTTCCCTAACAATGGCGCGGACATCCTCCTATTCAGCGATGAAATTACCACTCCCATCGTGTTAGACTTGCGCAACCTCCCTGACGAAAGCGCTGGTATCGTCTGCGGCGTGGCAGGCCGATTATTGGATCGTATGTGCGAGTCAGATCGGAAGATGGGCAGGAGTGATTCGCTGGGGTTTAATATGAGCTACCTCTCCACCGCAAAAGCAGGGAATGTCATCGTCAGAGTGGATGAGGTGGACGAGGCGCTCGAGGCATTGAAGGAGATCGAGAGCGCTGGAGCAGATTGAGCACGAGGCATAAGAGGAGGAACGTATGTTGGGTATGTGCGTAATGATTCTCGACAGGGTGATCAGCCCAGCATTGTATGTGTTTTATTGTAGCGTGCCACGATCTCCTTTCTCATAGCGGTGGGGGTATCAAAAGTCCATTTTCGCCTTGTCTTACCTCCTTCCTGTACTCAAATCGTCCGTGTATATCCGTCTCATCCAAAAGCCTTATCCATCAACTCCCCCACCTCATCCCTCTTCCCTCCCACTTCCTTACCTTCACCTGTGTCCTCATCCCCCAACAAATCCACTTTTGGCTGTTCCGCCTGCCTCCGCTCCTCCCTCTGCTCCGGCCTCAGAATCTTCTCCTCCCGATCCAACCACCCCGGCGCCCGTCTTCGCTTCTCCCTCAGTTCCCTCTCACCAATATCTCTCTCCCACTCCTCCACTTTCCTCTGCGCCTCCGGCCCTGCAGTGCTTAACTGTCCCAGCAGCGCAAGGTTCTGGGCTTTGATTGCGCTCGGGTGGGCCGAGAAACCTTGCGCTGAGAGGACGTAGGCTGGTTTTTGGTCTGAGTCGGTGGTGGAGAGGACGGAGGCGGGGAGGGTTGAGGGAAGGGTGGTGTAGTTGTGTGGTAGCGTTGGGGGGACGGGGAGGGTTATGAAGGGCGAGACGGTGAGGGGGGTTTGCGCTAGGAGGTGTGATGCTGGGTGGTGTCAGTGTCGTAGGAGGGTAGAGGAGGAGGGGAACGTACGGGATTCGTGCATCGTGATAGGTGGGCGAGATGAGGTTGGTGATGTGGTTGTGAGGTTGGTTGTGAGGTTGGTTGTGGTAGGAGAGGTGCGGGGCGTAGAGCGCGATGCGCGGCCGACTTGACTTGAAGGGTAGAACGACAATTTTCAAACATATGCTGCACTATGGTGTCGAATGACGCGCGATTAGCTGGGAAATATCGCATTAAGACTGGGTCTACTCAGGTGATGCCTTTGGAATTGAGAGTACTATTTGTGATTGACCCGTCTTGTCATTATTTGTAAATGCAAGCACCGACTACTTCGGTTCGAGGAACTGCCGCCTTACTCCGGGTACTACATGATATTGCCATAACAAAAGAAGGGCCACCTCATGAGGAAATGCATAGCAGTTGTCTTGAATCAAGACCAAAGAAATGTAAGCGCCGGTCGGAAGGCTCAGACTAAAAAAAATAGAAAAGCATTGGAATTTATTCAAAGACTTGAAAATGCGTTCGCATGATTCCATAGAAATTCCAAAAAATAAGATCGCCCGACGAGAGACTCGAACTCTCAACCTTGGGATAACGTTTATTTCTAAAAGTCACACGCTCTGACCAATTGAGCTAGCCGGGCAAGTTGCAATTCGTGATGGTCAAATAATATATATACATAAAATCATGCCAAGCGAATCTGTCATCACTGGTCTCCCAACATCCATGATATAGCCCACGAGGCGCAGGCTAAATCCACTCAAGAATCTGCGTTTGACATCTCGGAATCAGGATTTGGTGGACATTAACAGTCAATGCACAAGCGATAATTTAGTGACGAGCTGCTGCTGGTCGAAAATTGGCTAGTAAGACATGAGTAGTGGTCATTCAACTAGGCATCATATGCTCCTCAGCCATCTAGAATTGATCACTTTCAAGGTGGTGTTCCAGACTTTGCCGAATCGATCAGCACACGAGTTCTACTAATGTAAAATCGACTTATCCAGCATAAGTCGAGACTGTAGCAAGGATATACAATGCAGCATGCAGTGATCCTCGGGCACCCACCTGATTGGTGGGACGCCTTGGCTGAAGCTATACAGCTTCTACAACGCTATACATCTCACAATCTAATGTTATAAAATATTTCAACAGGTTCTGGCGTATGACACAAACATCATATGATAGACACGAAATTCATGGCGTTTCCCGTAAAGCTTGGGTTCCCAACGTCTCTGGTAGAAGACATGTATGCGCTTCACCACTCGTGTCTCATAGTTTGTAGCATTTCTTTCAATCACATTGAACAAAGCGGCTATACCTACTCGGTCCAGTGGCAGACGTCCGATCATTCTCTTTGTTGCTCGCGCAACCAACGTCTGTGACATCGTAGAGTCGTCTCATTCTCCTGGGACAGGTCTTTCCTGTTCTTTGCGAGGATAAGCAGGAATATTCTCAGGTCATACCGTCGTGGGCGACGGAGAAATCGCAAGCTGATCATGCTCAATCAGCACCTTGGTCAAACATGAGAGATTTTCTTACCCCGCTCTTGTCAGTTCGCAACATGGGAAAAGGCTCAGAAATGGCATTGTTTGTTATATGTGCTTAGTCGTGTCGCTACTTCTCCGCAACGGTAAATCCTATTGAGCGCTGGGACCATTCCGTCGTCAGCCCCCAGAGCCTTACGCGAAGTCAAGACTTGGGCTTATGCCATCAGCCGACAAGACTCCGAGATACGCCCATGTGCTCAGCTGGTATATTTTCAAGCGGGACAATCATCTATGTGAGATGACGCCGAGATTATAATCCGCATCACCTTTTGAAAGATTTGATGACTGATCTCGAGCCTCTGCCAGCAACCCTTCCAGGGTCGTGCGATAGGGAAGACTCTGGGGAATCTTCTGGCAACTACCCCAGATGGTATTCGAGCAACCTGCACTCCATGTCGTCAAGCAACTTCGTGGGCACTCCGTCAAATGCCCCGTCAGGTACCTCGCAGGGCACCTCTTTCGACAGCTTTTTTGACAGCTCCTTGGGCAACTGCATTGGCTGCCACCGAGGCAACTTCGCCAGCGACCCAGATCCCGTACAGCTTGCCACCTTGCTCGCCTTATTGCTCTGCATTCAGCAGTAGAATGCAGGCCCTACCTGCCAACGCAACATGCATGGCAGTTGCTCGTTGTTCAAGCAACCTACCACGTCCGAGTGATTGCTTGAGAGGACACCTCGCAGTTGGGTCACCACACCGGGTTCTAGGAAAAGGCGAGTTCGTCCTGTTTTAGGATCTTGAGAGCGTACCACTGCATCGATGGCTCGGCGTACCACTTCAGCACATCGTAAATACACTTCGTAAACCATGTGATCCCAAGTCGTTGCATGTCCGTCTCTGCACATACCAGTGCACTGCATTTGGAGAATCTCTGTCGAATCAGGAAGGATGTTCGCAAAATATTTGATCGTGAACCAGTGTCGGACCTGGTTATTCATGCACAGCTCTACACCATGGGAGCTAGCGAAGCACAAAGCCGTGAGCTGAGTATATGGGTAATTCTTCAACAGAAATTGCTCGATTCTGAAAGCATCATAGTCGAACCGGCCGACAATCAACGAAAACCCTTTTGGGCTGAGATCCACAGACTGGCCTCTCAACTCCTCACGGATCCAGGCTCTGGAAAGAATGAGGGACGGGGTCCTCATATGCCAGACTGTGAATGAGTCGGATCTGTCGAAGGACATGGTGGAGCAGTAGCCAAGCTTTCCAAGGGCCACGCGTTTGGCCCTGTCGATCTTCCAATATCTTAGATCGGGATCGCCTTCAATCCAGAAATCGTACACTCGGCGTCGCAGCTCAAGAGGAAGGTCAGCGAATCGGATTCCCGAAGTGGTTGTCGGAGAGCTGTCCATGACGCTACGCTTTGTACTGTTGATGCTTGTACTATAATAGAGTGCTCGCTTGGCGTTGAAAGCAAGAATTGTGAGAGAAGAAGAGTGGAAACGCGTGAAGTTTTGAGGTCGTACGGGTTACAGGCAGTCACACAAGTTCTGCCCCTCCTCCACCCGCAAATATCACCACAACAACAACCATCCGATATCAACAAGCTCCGTCTTTGAATTCCATTCCAATCATATTGTCATCCGTCTCGCCCGAGGCGCGTCTTTAGCACGGTTAATCGTCAGTATCTTCAACGAAATTGATTAGATGTCATCATACGACCATTATCCGAACCCGCACCGTGACGGAGCGTCCAAAGATCACAGACACAGCCAAGAGCCCACACTGAAATCCTCGGCATTCCGTTTCATGGAGCTTCCGCCAGAGCTTCGTTGCATGATTTACCGAAACTACGTTGAGGCTGTAGACGATGGTGATTTGCAGGGACTTATTCTGCCAGCCTTACGAGGGCTCTGCTTACCATCTTTTGCCAAGGTATCTCAGTCAATAAGAAAAGAGCTCATACCGATAAGTTTCGGACATATCTCCGTGATAAAATGTCATTGCGAACAGCTAAACGTAGTAGCTGTCAAGGTCCAGCGTGGGTTCGAGGAATGCAATGAACTCCAATTTGTTCAATCTCTTCGTTGCATGAACAGCACGACCATTCCGCAAGACAGTTCGTCATCCGACCATTGGCCGATACAATTCAGCATTCTGCTCGAAACAAATGGCTCTGTGACCATCGAAGCACTCGAACGCGATCAAGATCCGCTATGGGGCAGCTGTGCTTCCGTCAAAGCAGTAGAGACGTACCGCGAGGCAATCGATAGTTTTCGAGATGGACTTATGCAAGACGCCCAACTGTGTCTTTCATTAGGCAAAAGTTCCTTTCTGCCGAGGATGTTGAAGAAATTGCAGCTGAGACTGTGGAGATTCGTTTGCGATGTGTACTGGAGATGAGTCGTCAAACACTGGCATGATCCTGCAGGCACTAATTGCGTTTGGAGATCAGAAGAAATGCGAGGCTCCTTGAAGGCAGTCAGCTATCTCCTCCAGATTGGATCTTAAAGAGCTGGATGAACACAAAACTATGTTGGATACGAAGAGACAAGAAGACTACTCACAGTTTGAATGGTGGAATTCCTGGACTCCCGAAACCTGTTCTCCCATAGATGCCGCTTGGTTGTGGCCAAATACGGCCAAATGCAAATCAACCGATCTTGGACACACTCTGGATGTTCCTATGAGAAGTATGTCGTTCCATACCACCATGATCCCGGTGGTGGACGAGACGCACCGTCCAAAATCTAGCCAAATGAGCCTCGTAAGGGTTCCGTCTTGGATGCGGTCCAAGATCTGCGTGCGAGGACGCACAAATGATGCTCTCTAATGCACCCTTCGATCTCTCCGAGTGTTGGACAACCTGGAAGCGCGCCATGCCTGAGGCTCTATCGTCATGAAATTGCCGCACAAGGACCCTCGAGGAATCCCCCGCAAGGCGCCCTCCGCCTCCTTGAGCAGATCGTTGTCCTACCACGTCGACGAGCAGATGACCGTACATTAGCGGCGACACCTCGGCCTGTGTGAGGCCTTGCACATGGACATGCATTTGTGCGAATGCTGGCCCAAGGAGTCTCGAGTCTCTTGTCCACTATCACAATGCTTGACCCCATCTACCGTGCCCAGCAATTTCCAGCTTGAGTCTCTAGTCTGGATGACGGAGTTGGTCAAGGGACTCGTCTCTGGTACAAAGAGCAGCAGAGTCTGTCATGCCATATGTATTCCTCCACGCATGGATGGGCTCGTAAGGAAAGGGCATACAGACTTCAGACTGCAGGAAAGGACAAGATGGGCGCAATAAAGTGGACATTGAGACAGGGCTTACAGCGAACATCACGAATTCCACACAAATGAATTTACAATGTCGGATGGACAAAGACATGCTTGGATAATGTTGACCCTTTGTCGCCAACATAGAACGAAGTCCGAGGTTATGTCTTCTTAATTTCGCCGTTCCGGTTGGGACGTCTGCCAAGAGCCGCTTCCTGATCGGGACGAAATTGGTGACCCCGCGTCAAATTCGCGATCCGATGGTTCGGGCGCGCCTGCGGCCTGTCTCACTTTTGCCTGGCAATCGATCACTTTACTACGAATATACACGTTTTGACGGCGGAATGGACAAGAAGACGTTCCACTCGGTAATCAGCTGAAGAGAGAAATATGGCGGCAGACCGGAACAGCCTGGAAAGTCAGCCGTTCAATCAAATGCAGGCATTAATGCTGCAGGTGAGTAACGACCGTGCGCGCGACCAGCAGGGATCCGCGCAGCAACAGTCAGTCCACTTCGATCAATCACATCGATCGCTGATTCTTGCTTGCAGCAACCCGACACCCGCGAAGATGACCTTGGAAATCCAAGCCATGCGCTAGCCCGGCAATCGCGCATTTCACCTGGTGCAGAAACCCGACATCTTGTCCGACCCAATGCCGATACACAACTCCCTCCTCTCTCACGGTCGGCGCCAGAGATGGGTCTGCTTCTGAATAAATCGTACCCTCAAGCGCTCGACGAGAAACGCGCAGCAATGAGTTTCAACGTCTTTGACGAGCTCGACGGCGACACCCAGCCTATGCCTTCACAGGTCTACCACGGCTACAACCACGTCACCCATGAAGAGAGCGTTGGGCTTCACAGCTTGGGAGGAACA